CACCGCTCCCCATCCGGGAAACCCCCCGGGGACTTCCCCAATCGCACCTCTGTATGCGCCCCCGGTCGTCCCCCCGTCCTCCCCGGCCGTCTTCACACAGCTCTTCCTGGTGGCCAGAGGCCTCCAGCCTTCAGACGAGGATCCTTCTGAAAGCTGTCGCTTGCTATCGTCTCTCTAAGCTTGAAGGGGGCTCGGCTGGGGGGGTGGGTAGGCGTTACCCCTTTTCCTGGTTTTGTAAGCCCTAATTATTTCCTGGCGTCGGTGCTTTTCATAAGCACCTGACGGGTTTTTTTTGTTGGGGTTTTTTTTTTGTTTGTTTTTTGGAGTTTTTTGTAGGTATGTCTGATAGTCTTCTAGCTGAAACATCTTGAAAGGGGAAAATAATTAATGTTTTTAAGAGACGGGGCAAGAGGGGGAATTCTGGGCAATCCAGGCTTTTCCAGATGTCCATTAGATGGCTAGAAGTAGAGGGACCTAGAATTACCAACTATTCCAAAATAAAGCCTTGTGCTGGACCGCCAGGTGTAACAGTAGTGGTGCTTTCCAAAAACCGTGGGCAAAATTTTCCAACTGCTTACCTGTGCTTTTAAAATCATTGTTACCTTACAATAAGTTTGTATCCTGCTTAGGTTTCAAGTGTGGTCTGTGTTTGCATATGGGATTGCTTCTATTAGATGATAATGTGAATTATACTCACTGTATAGTCCTAGCTTGGCCTCTGGCTTTCTGTTGAGATTCCACAACCCCTCTGTCCAGTGGATTTTTTGCAATGATGAAAGGTCCCCTCCTGGCTTTCGCATCTGCTTTTTTTCACGGTGGGGTTGCAAACCTTATAAGAACCATTTCAAGTTGCATGAGACAAAGTGAGAGTATTTCTGTTTCCAGCACTTGGAAGCTGCTGAGGACCACATTGGCTTGCAAGTATCACTGCGGTATTAGAGGTTAGGTAAATGGCAGTCTTGGTTTTGGAAGCTTATAAGCATGTTTTGAAGGTGAAAAATTATCTGTATTATGAAATCAATTGTGATGCGATTTCTAAATCTCACTTCACACAAGTTCTGTTTGCTCTGCAAGAACAATGACTTTGGCTTAGTTGACTGACTTCATGGCAGTTGATATCGACAAGTTAAACATTTGCTAGGAGCACCACCTGTGCAGGCCTATCTGATCACGTTCGTGCTTTTTCTGTCTGTTTGGTTGCGCAAGCATGAAGTTTTTATTTATAGAGGCTCACAAAACCAAAATTCTTGCTGTTAGGAACTTTCAGTATAAGTAAGACCTAGTGAGAAAGGAAGGCATTCCAGAAGATGAAGGAAGTATGTTATTTACTAAATACTTTAGGTTTTGTGCTCTTTCGGTATGTCTTGGAAGCGAGCTCAAAGAGCACCAGAATCAAGCTGAAGGGTGTGTGGAAAGAGGAAATTGCAAGTGGAGATGTCCCGTTGCTTGATTTGAGGAGGGAGCCATGAAGTACTGGAAAGAAAAGCGATTCGGCAAAGTGTTCTAGGTGGGTTGGACAGATGGAAGAAGGTGAAGGAGAATGAAGGTGTGGCAGACATGTTAAAACTCTGAATGTGAGGAGAGAAGCCAGTGGAGGGTGTAAAAGATGACGAAACTTCCTCTGAATTTGCTAGCGTAGAACTTACAGGGATCTGCTACAGAGTTTTTCATTTTCTAATTAATCCAGATGAAGCTCTGTTTTAATTTTATTGAGTCACTCTTGCAGAAATGGTCTCCAAAGGTTTGAGGTGAATACTGAGGTAGCCAGGGTAAGTAATACACTGAAGGAGGGAGAGGGACTGAGAGGCAGCTCAGACAGCTTTGACAAGTTTAGTCGAGGCAGAGTTTATGAGTTTTGATTATAATAGAAGAGTCCTGCAACTCCCCCTTCTTTGGGAACTATGTTAGGCTAAGTTGGGCAGTTAAAACACCTGGAAAATTAAATACCATTAACAGTAGTTATACAGTGCCTGTATAACTGGCATTTCCTGTCTTGTGAAAATAGGCTTTGTCTGCTGAAAAGTCCTGTTGAATATGTGTGCGCCCTTAGCAGTTTGCAGCTCTTGCCATGTTCTGCTGCTTTGGAGAGTGGAGAGTCTGTAGCGCTAAGCAACCTGTTGTCTGAACGTGGCTAGAGCTTATTCACTGTAAAGTGGTTAGGACTTGCCAATCTTTTGCAGAACTGTGAAACATGGATACCTGTTATCACCTATACAGGAAAGAAACCTGTGTTGCCTTAAATTTCAAAGATTGCCATGCCTGTAGTCTTTTCAGACACATGCTGAAAAAAACAGAACAAAATAAAAGCAACAAAACATCACAACATCCCACCTCCAACAACGGGGGCGGGGCGGGGGAAGGAAGCAGCTGTGGGCTAGTATACAAACTTTTCTGTCCTAACATATAACTATTTGTGTACAGTTGTACCTGTTTTTTTCTTCTGTAATAGTGACTTTCTAAATGACCTGAGGTTTGTAGAGAGGCAGCATGTTTCCAGCTCTGTTGGTCTAATAATAGGACCTTACAGCTTGCTGTGCTCAAAACCTCTCTGGGCCCAAAAGCTCATCTGTCTTTCCAGATCTCAATCAACCTTGCCTTGCCCATATTCTTAGATCATTGTGGCTACAGCAGTGCTGGAACATAAATCAGTAACAGATCCAAGCATCAAGTACATATTAAAACTAACTAGATGCAATTTATTCCTCCTCCCAGCCTACTTTTTTCACGGTACATAGTTCAGGGCAGACTAGAATAAAAAAAGAGGTGTGACTTGCTGACCTCGAAGGGAGGAAGGGAAAAGAACAAATACTTTGTACCCAGGCAGGCTGTCACCTTCTTTCCAGTTCGTGATGTGCTGGAAGACTCAAGCACCAGAGTCTGACCCTTTTCCATGCTGTGAGGATTGTTTGAAGTCTGACCATGGTGCACAGTGCCTATTTCTAAATGGTCTTCAAACTTTTCAAAGCCTGACTATAGATGTGAACACCTGATAAGGGGAAATTGTCCCTTTACTACTTTTTTTTTTTTTTTTTCCCCAGCACCAAAGGTTCTGTTTGCATTACTTGAGGGCTTCTATTGCTTTTCAGTTGCCTTGTCTGAAGAAGTGCCTCTGTGCTCTCACGTGTTCCAATACTGCATCAAGTGATCGGACTGGTGCTTTTCATTGCTTTCTGCTGAAAGTGCTTATATCTTTTGTTGGTATGTCAGTCTGTCCCGCTTTCTCTTCTGCTTAGTTTACTGTAACTAGATCTGAATCGGCTGCAAGTGAAGGCTTCTGCAGATCCACAATAAAATCAATGTAGCTGCTATTCTGCGTGACCTACATAATTGAGTAATTGCTTTATAAGCTAAGGCAATGGAGGCTTTGTGCCTAGGTCACAGCCCAGGAAAATTAATTTCTTCCCAGATATAGCCATGATTTGGGTGAACCACAGCACACTGCTGATTGTGGTGTAGGAGCATGGTGTGATATCCGGAACTGTGATGCGTGGATGGCATTTTGGCAAGCCAGTGGGCCAAATGACTGGTATTAAATGTTAGTTCCATGGGAAAATACTAGTGTCCGCGTGCTCCCATAAATAGTTTACAACATCTATAAACATCCTCTTGTAACTTTAGTAATCATAAAATTACGCATCTGGCAAGCATGTCCTCATGCCTATTGCTCTCTTAAATGCCAAAGGCATTTCTCTTTGTAGTGAAGCCATAAGTTAATAACTAGCCACTACGCACTGAGAAAATAACTTTCTTGACAGGAAATCTGAGGGCTGATACCTTAACGAAGTTGTATCCTTAACCTTTCTTCTTTTGAAGACTCTTTTTTACCTAACAGCCTCTCCTCATTTTGTTTTTTGGAACCTAATATTTCAAGTACTTACTAGTAAAATGATTTGGAGGGTGTGGGGATAGAGGTGGGCTGAATGCCCTGTTGCCATCTGTGGAACTACAGACCAATCAAATGAATCTGATAGGTATTTGCATGATCAGAGCCTAACTGATCATCTGTTTTTGAATTTCAGCAAACATACTGTCTATCTTGTTTACAACTTTAGTTTTCTGTGGCATCCTGATGAAAACAAATTTTTTGCAGGCTTGTGGGCTTTTCTTTTGGCTTGCTGGAGGTCGGAGGTAGTGTAATGCAACTTCTCTTACTTCCGCAGAAGTTGGAATCCTTGCAAAGTCCTACATTGATCAAGGGCGGCTTATTCCAGATGACATCATGACGCGACTAATGCTGAATGAGCTAAAAGGTCTAGATCGGTACAACTGGCTATTGGACGGTAAGTGAGCATATTGGATATCACTAATATGGAGAGAAAATCTGCACTGAAAAGCTTGGAGTGCTTTAGTCACTTGTGGGTAACTACACTCCGGTAGCCATCCTCGAGTCGTAGTAACTGGACAGTATGTGTTGCCAGCTTCTTGTGAAACCTTCAGCAGCTAGTCTGCCCCAGTTTCTTTGGCTGTAAAATGCTTTGGGTGCCTTCTGCCTTCAGGGCATTGCAGGGATGTTTAATTCATATTGAAAAGGGTAGTTCAGCACTCCAGTAAATTTTCAAAACTGGCAATTCTGGTAATTCTTATGCTTTATCTCCCCTTTAAAATACGCATTGAAAAGTTTCTTTTTTTAAAGCCTTTTCTTGTTAAAGTCCTTGGGGAATGGAACACTTTTGAAGAATGGGGCTGAGGAATTATTTAAATAGAAAGGTAGGTATGTGGTGCAGCAACAAGGTAAGTATGGAAAGCAAGTACTGCAGCAGTGCAGTGTGTTACAAATCACTAACAAAACCACTGCTTAAGTGCTATGAAAGGTCTCTTTCATTTGCTTTTTGGTTCTGTTCTCTAGAGTGAATTGTTCTGCGATTCTGCAGTGGAAGCTCACTGCTTTAGCATTCACAGTAGAGAGAAAATGCATTTGCTGCTGTCTTCATGAACTGAATGGCTCCTGTTACCCCAGCCCATGGGAGTATGGTTGGATGCACAGGACAGAGATAGCGCCTAGGCTGGACGTGTGTGTTTTTTCGGATTCTAGTCACAACCTGTCTCCTTAGATAAAACTAAACAGTTGTCGGTGTGGCTTTTGATCAGAGGGAGTGAAAAATCCCCAGTGCTCTCTGTCCCTTAGTGCTTTATTATAAATATTTCTAGTACAGCGATCTGTCTTGGTGGCTTTAGTCACAGTTATGTTCCTCCTTAGTGAAGACGAAGGCCTAATTCCCACAGTGAACAACAGCACAATGAAACCGAATCAGTAAAGGAAGGAGCTACAGATGTTTGTTTGTTTGTTTTTTCTTTAGTTCCAGGCCCTGTGTACACAGTTCCAGCCTTGTGGATCTGGATGTGTAGCAGTATAGCTGGCCACACTGGCAACTCTTAACAGGAGGATGGTGTGGAGACTGTAAGAGAATAAATCAATTTTGGCTGCATGTTAACGTGCTGCCTTCTTTACACTTTTGGAGCAGAAATTTTGTCTGCATCAGCATCAGTAATGAGAGTCAGTGAATTACACTAGGGATAGTTCTGGCATAATCAGCTGTGTAGGAACAATATTGTTCTGTTGAAATACGTTAACAGAAAGTCATTAGTTTGGTAACTGCAACTCAGAACAAACAGCTGAGGTCAGCTAGGTCAAACTAAATAGAGTTGCTGAGCTGCTTGAATGCTCACTTAGCTAAATACCCATTTCCACTCTGCCTTATGGTAGGTTAGTGGCCTCTGGAGTCATAGCAGATGTAGCAGTCTGAGTTGTGTGTGTGGGTATGATCTGCTTAGATTTATGTGCTGTATAATTGGGGCACTTTTTTCTGCATTCATGGATTCTTCACAATTCGTATCCTGTAGATTATTTTTTCTGTATCAAGAAAACGCTGTATGCAGCAAACGCTGGTTCAGTTTCCATGAAATGCTTTTGTAAAGGCACTTTGTTAAGGAAGTTTCTCACTACTTACTCCCAAAGCAAACTCATTTTCCAGCTGCATAACTAAGATGTATGGTGGCTTGTCAATAGGAAGAACAGCAGCACTGGAATCCTGTCTCTCCCTCTGCTCTTAACATTTAGAAGTGCTTCCATGAGATAGTGTGAACATGAGAGAAACAGGATGAGGGCAGTTGATGTCTGTGATGCAAATCAGGTGCATCAGACTTAATGCACAAGTAAGAGCTTAGTCTGAGTTAATCAACTCTTTCCTTTTGTGATGTGTTAGACAAGACACAGTAGCCTTATGACCATACTTTTTTTTTCCTGTTTTAAGACTAGTTCTTGGCTGGTTCCTTCCTCAGGCAATGGACTCCTCAACAAATGTTATGCAAGGAAGAGTTTCTAAAGTTGGTACCTATCAGTACTTGCCTTTATGGAGAAGTTACTTATATAGTATGATGAAAATTACAAGCTACTGAAGAACACGAGACTGTGCAAGAGCTTTGTGGGTAGAGGCATTATTCCAATGAATCTGTCGTGAAGTAGCATGTTCTGCAGTAGCTTTGATTGTTAAAGTTCTTGTGGTCAATTTTTCATTTTAAATTCTTTGTGGAGACCTTGGGTTTCTTGATCTCTATTTTGCTCCCCCCTCCCTGTTCCTCTGCCCACCCAAGTTCACTAGATTTCTGTAGTAGCAACATGTGCCTTTGAAGGCATGCTACCGGAGCCGTGGAGTTCATGGGGCAAAATGCAGTGTCCTTCAGACAGTGTCATGACAGATTCTTGTTCAGCCTGAGTGTTCTCAGAGTCTCCATCCCCGAGGATAGTTTCATACACTAGACTTTCCAGAACTCTTTCTAAAGCTAATCTTTTATGTAAAATTAATCCTGGACTGCCCCTGGTGGATATACTGGGCTTACTGCAACTGAATAAAATAGATTTGTAATGGTCAGCTCCTTAAGCCAGACTTAACACAACTGGAAGTAAGAGTTGTCACAGATGTTTCTACGTTGTTCCAGACCTCTGAGTGAACTGCCTGTAGCTTTTATTGTTCGAAATGTGTATACAATGCTTTTATTCAATATAGTGGTATGTAGTACATGAGAGTATGGAGTCTTTTTGCATTTGCTTGTTACACTTTTGGGAAGATGATTAACTGAAATGAGGAAATCGAAGCTGGGAGGCATTTGACAAGTTAAAGTGTCATGACACTGAAAAATACTTGGAAAATCTGATGTCTCTTCAACCTTTACAGTATGAGAAATTTTTTTTTTTTTCTATCTGATAATTATTTTCTCTAATGACTGATTCCAGGTAATTCCCACTATAACTCTGCCTTTGGATTTTTATGGAGTTGTTTCCTTTAAAAAGGTTTCCCCAGAACGGTTGCTCAGGCAGAAGCCCTGGATAAAGAATGCCAGATAGACACTGTAATTGACCTAGACGTGCCATTTGAGACCATAAAATGTCGGCTCACAGCACGTTGGATCCACCCTGCTAGTGGCAGAGTCTACAATCTTGAATTCAGTCCTCCCAAAGTGCAGGTAAGCAATACACGTCAGTGTTGGTGCTAAATAAATGTTGTATTGCATTTGGTAATTGCAGTAAAACATTGTTTGCTTATGTTGTTGCAAAACAGCAGCTCAGAAGAAAAAGGCTCATTTGATCTCTTAGGAACACAGAACCTTTCTGGTAATGCCCTGCCTCTGAGGGTGTGTTTGTGACTTGGTAGAAGCTCAAGCTGATGGAAAATGTGTTTGTCCCCTGCAGAATGAAACACCGTGGTGTTTTGTAAGCTCTTGTTGAAGCTGTTCACTGATCTGGAATACTCTGTCTTGCACATATGCATAGGAGTTTGGCATGTTCTTAGCCTGTTCTGCAAGTTTGCAGCCTATACAGTCCAAAATGTAGTTCCCTTTTCCTTTCTTCAGAGGACTCATTCTTTCCACATTCTCTTTCTTTCATTCACAACGCATTATCACTCAGAAGAATCCACTTAATGCTTTCCCTTGTGTTTATATTTAACCAGGACAGGTATTTTCAAGGGAACAGTTGTTGTACTGCAAAATTAGATGTAGAAACTTGCCAGCCAGGGAAGCTTCTCAACAAATCGAAGAGGTTATGGCTTGAGATACCCTGAAGAGGAACAGTAAGCTTGAAAATTATCATTGTATGTTGTTACCTTGAGATTTTTGAGGAACTTGGATTAACCTTAGCGCAACACAGTTTAAGCTGTATTTCATCCTTAATTCTAAATAACTTAACCTGTTGGGGCATCACATTTCACCTTGAAGCTCTATTAAGTTACATCAGAAGCATAGCAGGCCTTGTTGGGTTTGGATTTCAGTGTTGCAGGAAGAGGGAAGAGGCCAGCTGGTGCTAGAAACACTGGAGTTTTTTAAATGATTGTATTATGTAAGCAAGATAAGCTTGACCATATAAATCCACCTCTAATATGATACAGGTGTTCTGGAACAGATTTTCTTCACACCTTCATGAACAGAGCAGCTTACTGAACACTGAAGGTCATTGATTTTCTGAAACTGACTGCCAGAACACAAGCAGGAAAGGAAAAAAATTTTGTGGTCTAATTGATTTTGTACTTGCAATATCACTCGTGTTTCCAATCTGAATGTCAGATTCAGCTTGTCTTTAGGAAAAACCTAAATTCTTGAGGATTTAATTAATAGCATGAAGGAGCAAAGAATCCTTTATATCTGTGGTGGGTCATATAATGTCCTTAGATGGACAGTGATTCAAGTCACCTAAAAAGGAGCCAACTTTTATGTCACTAGCTAGTCCTTCATAAGATATGCCAGTGGTCAGTAATGTCTTCAGTCACTTCTGGTTTCAAGGCCTAAAAGCTCCATAATCACTTAAAGCACTTCAGTAAATTGGAGGTGAAATGTGCAGTAAAGGGGGAGCTGTCATAGTTCACATACAGTCCCTACCTCTGTTTACTAAATCCTAGAAAAACTTCAGCTCGCTTTTATACTAGTTTTTGTACAGCTGTTGCTAAATGATAACTCTTCCATTTTGCAACTTAAAATCAAAGGGATGTTAACTCCTTTCCCCATTTCAATATTGTCAAACAAAGGTCCAATTGGTCTCTTGATTGTCTCCTGTTATGCAGGAACATATTGCCAACAATATTGTTTTCTCTCATATATGAAGATTTTGTCTACATATTTCCCATATTCAACAAATGTTCCAGAGGACAAATTAGTCATGTTACTGTGACCTGATGTTCATTGCCAATACTATGAAAGTATTTTAACTGATGGACTGCTTTACTGAAAACTCAACGTCTTATACTGCAGATAAGATACGGGCAGTAGCCTTTCTCTTTATAAGCAGAAATCTACACCTTGACTAAGTGGAAACCGATCATAATGTTAATACAAAATAACAAAAAACATACTTTAACAGAAACAAGAAATATACACCAGTGTTTGCTTTTAACCGTGATTAGGGCATTGATGATATTACTGGAGAGCCACTTGTTCAGCGTGATGATGATAAGCCAGAGACAGTTACCAAGAGGCTGCAGGCTTATGATGCACAAACAAAACCTGTTCTACAGTATTACCGGTAAGTAGCAAAATCTATTCTTCCACATTCTAAAAGCTTCTTCCACATGACCGTAGCAAGGAACAGATCTCTTCAATTGCAGAGATATTGCAACAGTGAACGTGCTATGAGTAGCAGTGTATCTTTCACCAACTCGGTGAGAAATCAACCCAGTAAAACGAGTATGTCTTCCAGTGTTGCATGAAACGTTTTCAGGAGTGTGCTTAGCAAAAGAGCCTTTCACTGCAGCCGTATTTAGCTTTACAAAGAACACTATGCATTAGTCAACACATTACAGTACTGTTCTGAACAACATAACTCTGGTTAGTAAGGTAACAGGGACAGTTCCTTTTTTTTTTTTTTGAAGATTTAACAGTATTTTCTCTTCTGGATATGTAAGTAGAAGCCCTGCTAACAAGGGCAAGGGGTTAAGAACCGATATACAAATAAAAAGAACTGTTAATGAGGATTTAAAAGTGGCTGTTCCAAGAACAGGACTGTGACAGGCACAGCTAGCAAGACTCTTTGAGAATAAGTAGCTGTTTGGGAATACTGCCATTTGCACTATGGAATGATAATAAATTCTTAGCTCCTTTAAGAGCCAAAATCGTACACCAAGTTTCTGTTCATGTAAAGCTGCAAATATCACATTGCTAATATCCATATAATAGTAGGTCACCATGTAGTAGGTCACTTTGTAGTCTTACCTCGCCTAGACAAATAAGTCAGACTCTTTGACAACAACCTGAAGTGACTGTCTTTCCTCTGTCTCCATATCCACCACCCTTCATTACACTCTAACAAAACTGTTGAGCAGAAGACTAGAAGCTCCATCTTTGGGGTGGTTACATTCTTCTGGATTGACAATTATTTCCCTGACTTTGGTAGCTTTCTGAAGTGAAAAATGCCTCAAATCGCCCCAGTAAGACAGAGGCCTAAGCTATTATTATTACTGGTAACATCACACTTTATAGATAAAACTAGTTACTAGGACTAATTCAGAGCAACTTGATTGTGCCTGGTTCACTTGCTTGTTCTAATGCACCTTCTTTGATCCTTGAGGTGTAACTCCAGGGTCAGTCAACTGGGTTAGTCACAGTTATTTGGGTGACTGCTGTATAGCATGTGCTGTATGACTGCATCGCTGCTTCTTATTTTTACCCTTTGTAGTTTGTTATTAAGTATGCTGTGGACAGCGGTCAGTTTTATGAACTGATGTGGTCAATAGCTCACTGTTTGAGGAACAGAGTAGTGCATGTCCAGCCTGCATTCCCAATGTTATGGCTGTTCTTGGTGTTAAATCATATGCATATTCGTGCACTCCTCCCAGAGCAATCTTAAAGTGAGGTGGAGGTCCTGGAACATTTACACAATTTGACTTCTGTAATGCCTTCTTCTTTTTCTTCCTTAGGGAAAAAGGGTTATTGAAATCCTTCTCTGGAACAGAAACTAATAAGATCTGGCCACATATCTATGCTTTCCTCCAAACCAAGTTGCCAGATGTGAGCCAGAAAGATGCTGCCACTCCCAGGTGAAAATAGGTCTAACTTCTGCTCATCTGTCATAGCTCACACTTTATTACATGAGATTCAGCAATCAAGGATTTCTCTAAGTAGTCTTAACAGACTGATCAATAATTAAAGTCTAATGTTGTCCTTAACTTACAGTATGAGAAAACTTTGTTGCCTGTGGTTCTCACTTTAATGCTGTATTTTTTATATTAAATATACCTAATTTTTATAATATAGTAACTGACTTTAACAAAAGCAGCTACTCTTGTGTCTCTTATTCAGAAAATACTTCTGTTTCCAAATACTGACTGGTGAAGGAAACACATTTCAGAATACAGCTTAATTACAAAGCACATTTTACTCAGTCATGAAATGTAGTGCAAAGCAACAATAAGGACATGAAAGCATGTTTCTTGAATGTGTGATAGTTGGGGCCAGCCAGAAGCTGTGGGGAACCATGGCCACCATTCTGTAAACAGCCATTTCAGACCAGAACTGGCATCCATATAGGTTGATCTCATGGAAGACAGTCACCTTCTTTTAGCTTTGCTTGCACAGATGTTAGGTGATTTTGCTGGGCTTAAGTTACCCTTAACACTTCCCTGGATGATTGGCCTTATTACTGTGTTTATATTTCTGCCTTCAGAGCAGCTATCTTGCAGGCATGAGACATGGAGTTTCAGTGATGTGTTATGTTTTACATTCAGTAAAGCCTCTGTCCTTGTGCAGCTCTGGAAGACTTTATTAGTAAAAATACAGCAGATACTGAGCAGATTAAGTGTAACCTGGTAAGCCTGTAGTTAGATGATCTTGACTAGAGAATGTGTCTTTTCTACTGTATTTGAAAAAACAACTGCTCATTGATGCCAACGCCAGGATTTCCAGTGGTGAAATTATTAACTTTGTCACGTTACTGTAGCAAGTTCTATGGTAGCAATTGGACTGGTTTTCATGAGTTCATACTACTAATTCATGTCTCTGACCTGCTCTTGTATTTATTTATTCACTAGATAACTAGAGCTACAAACCTCCACAGGCCACACTTTTTAACAGCCCAGGTAATGCACACATGGCTGTTTTTCAGTGAACTCTCCTAGTCCTTTTTTTATGCTGACCAGATTGAAGGTTTCAAGAAGAGTCAGCAAAACCTGAGGAACAAACTGCTCTGTTTAGGCAACATCTGAAGTAGCTGTGTCCTACTAATGCAGGTCCCAATCTCCATTTGCAGTGACTGTTTGTAAACAACTACACCACGGTGGTGCTGACATACTTTGGTCTATGCTTGCACGTCTAGTTTTAGCATTACCAAGACACATTTGAGTCTAAGAAAGATGGTCATTGTAGAATTTGTAAAGCCTTCCTATTACTATAAATGAACAGTATGTGCAACAGTTATCACTGCAAGCAGCTTTCCTTACATTTTAAAGGAAGCTTGCCAAAGGCTGACCACTTGTACTTTCATCTTCACAAAGTCGACATGGATGCTGTAGACTGAGTGAGTTTAGAGATGCACTTTGTTAAAAAAGTCACTGTTAGAAAACAGTAGCTGCCACATTACAGTGAGAAACCCTGATGCGCTGCTTACTTCTATTTATGCATTTTGATCTTGATAAAAAGCAGCTATGCTTGTTTTTTTGCCAGCCAACATAAGTTTCAGTTAGCCAGAAGAAGGGGGAGGGAATCTCCTTATGATTTGACACTTATTCCCAGCCCATTCAATTTTAGCCCCTAGAAACTTTAAAAATAACTTTCAGTATATCACAGATTGCTAGATCAATGTGGCTCTACTGCCAGTGGTAGCAATTGCAAGTCACTGTGCTACACTGCCCTTACTACCTTTGTGCATAACATGCAGTTAAAAAACTCCCTGAAGTTATTTTTCCTTAATAATGAATTAATTATTAAGGAGGAGGCAGTGTTTACTTATCCTCTCTGGAGTATTTGTAAAAAAAAAAATAAAAAAAAAATTACTACTACTACTGAAGCTGGTTATCTCTAATTTGCATCTGGGGCAGAGCTGCTGCTTGCTGCTTTATCCTCTGTCTGCATGTAAAAGAACTGCTTGAGAATACAATGCACGTGAAAAGCTACTTCTATCAGTGGATCTGGAGTTCCTACTTTTGCTACTGCTTTTGTACTAATATGTACTATGTATACATGTATATACTGCAGACTTAAGACTTTCTCTATCTCTGCTATAGCTGAAGCTGAAAATTACTGGATCTCAGCACAGCTTTTGTATGAATTAGCAACTGCAGGTAGGCTCTGTTCATTGAACTATGGAAATCTAGATACCTTCCAGATCTTACACAACATCAGAACAATAAAGGACCAAGAGTGGGTACTGATACCATTATTTGAGACATGAGCTGTCTTCCAACTACAGTATACATTTTTATAGACAGAACTGCTGGAATAGCAGCAAGTTAGAACAGCAAGGTAGAACTTTGGATTGCAGAGGTTCTGTGGAAGGCCTTGTCTAGAAATAGTGTTGGGATTTCCAGCTCCTCAAACAGGAAGCTTTTAATGGTTTTCCACTTTAATTTTTTTGAGTTGGCAAAGTCAGAAACCCACATTAGTTTACTAGCATATGGCATACCTTTCAAACCCTACATGACACCTCACCCTATACAAGCTGTGACAAAGCTTTTTGTTTAAACTTAAGTCTTAGCCTAACCCTTGTACCTCAAGTCCCCTCCATCCCCTCCCCTAAATTCTCCCCATAATGGGACTTGGTTTAAAAAAAAATAATCTGAAGTTAGCCTTATGAACAAGAAGAGAGTCAAGACTCAGAAATGATATAACCGAGCACTCATATGTAGACAAGCGTTGCTTACATTTTAGGACAAAACCAAGTAATGTTTAATGAAAGCACAATGTAACATTTAAATCCCCTTATTAGAGGTAGATAGCCACTGTTTTAATCTAACCCATTCAGATCTGAAATACTGATACCAGATATTGATTTATTGCTATTAGTGATAATCAAATTTGAGAGCTTATAATGTCAGCAAGGTAGCATGAATACAGTTGTGATCTCCACGATTCATAGAGTAAAACATGTCCACATCTGTAGTAAGACAATAGCAGATTCTACCAAGAATCTACTGCTTCTTGTAAACATTGTATTTGTGCAGATTTTTTTTTTCATACTTTAATTTCTAAAGTAATGAAAGGCAAGGTTAGTAGCAGAAAACACATCCAGTTTCACATTCGGCAATATGAGAACCCTGCTCTTCAAGGACAACCAAAAACCTAGCAGCACATTTTCAAACAATATTACAAGTTTTTTTCTGAATTACCCACCTCTCAAAATCCCTTCCCCCCTAAAACCAAACCACAACAACAACAAAAATCTGACACCAAAAATAAAGTGCAGTACCCAGAAAAATAAGTGTCAAGAAAATAGCCATGTTTGTTTCTTTGGGGGGCTGGGGTGGGGGTGAGCAGAGGAAGTAAGAAGAAAAAAAAAAAAAAAAAAGTAGTTGGCCTCAGTCTTAAGAGTATTATACTGTGTCCATCATTTTGGATTCATCTTCATCTCTTTGTATCACAGAGTTTAAACTGCAGACATCTGTGTTTATGGAACCTTGTAGATCAGCTGTGTTCTGCAACAGATGAAAAATTGGCAGCTTAATTCTCCGTAATTGTATATATGGAGGCAGGGGGAGAGAGAGAAACAGATTTTAGCCTAAGTTGGACTCAGTGTTGTCCATCTTAAGATGAGGCAAATTTGCAATAGTAAGGAAATAAACTCTGAAAAATTCATCAAGCAATACTATCTCACTGTGTCAAGAATTCTTTAGATTTGCTGGCATAGCTTGTTTGTGGTCTCAGTATTTCTAGCACTTGACTGCACATTTACTTAAAATTCAGCTCTTGGATCTTACTTGAGAGGTACTTTAATCAAATTATTTCAAGTAGTTTCAATTGTGACTCCTTCCTTAATACGTAATTTTTTACAGTCTTTTAAGTTGCTTCCTCATTCCAGCACATGGCCATCACTACTACTGTAACAAAAGACCTAAGTACCCTCAGTTTCCTTTATCACAACAGGAGACTTTTGTAGGCTTGACTTACCTGAATGAATAGGATTAGTCATTTTACACTGAAAGCTCATTTCACTGCTTGTGGTGAGGACTGTGAATACAATTCTAGCATCTGATCAGTTTTGTGTTGCAGTGTGCATTTTAAGCATGAAAACGTAAGGGCACTGAACTAACATATGCTTTTGACTTTATGCTAATGCTTTTTGAATTCCAGCAAGTAAAAAGAAAGGCCATATATGCCTTGCATATCGATAAAACTGCATGTTATATCCTGAGGACTAGCAGTTCTAGGAATAATTCTCTTTATATTTCAGAAAGGTACAGCTTCTGAAGGCAGGACCTAATCCTACTTTAGTTAAAATAATTTCTAGAAATAATAAACCTACCTGTGAAAAAGATGTCAGCTCTCCTAGAAGACCAGGATTGACACTGAGATCATGTAGTAACATAGTCTGAAAGCCATGTGATTGTGACCAGATTCTTACTCTTGTCTTGAATGCCTCAAGCTCATTTTTAAAAGCCTCAAAATAGCCTTCTCCTGTCTGCAAAGAGAAAAACGAAATGTTTGCACTTCAGCCAGATTTACTTTTGAGTTGTAAGCATACACAGTGCTGAAAAAAACCACTCAGTAATACAGGTTATACCCTTTGGGGAATAATAACCCTGAACAATTCAAGAATAATAATAAAAGTCAATTTAAAATGAAATTTCAAGTACATTTCTTTTTAAGACAATCTGTAGTATTTATATGTGGAAGCAAACTAATTGATTTATCTAAGGACATGTAAAAATAGTTCTAATTTCAGCCTCCCCTTTATTCCAACTCAGAAGCCAGTACCCTTAGAAAAATGTGCTTGTAGCACTCTGGTCAAAAGTAAAGCACAAGTTGACTCGCACTTCAACTGAACTCCTCATTTAGGCAATACTGAGATCCATCAGTGTCTTGAATAACTGAATACAGTCTACAGCAAACCACGGTTTCAGTCTTCCCGCATTTCTCCTGCATAGCTCTGGATTGCTCTATTTCAGTAATGAGAAAGGAACGCTATTTTGGGCCCGACTATGAACTGCAGATGAAATGGAAAGTTGTAACAATACACGGGTACACTGTGAAAACACGGGTGTAATTAGCAAAATCAGTCCTTAAACTGGTCTATTTTTACTGTTGTTACTTAGTTATTACTTGTCTATAACACCCCTGCTGTCTCCCTGTTGTATCTTGCTTTCCCTGTGGGATAAGCAAAATCCACTAAACTTTCATTTTCAGAATTGGAATTACACCAGAATATTCTGTCTAGAGAAGAATTGCTAGCAAAACCCTTTCCCATAAACCTAAGTCAGTCAATAAAACACTTGGCCTTTTATGATTAGGAAGAAACCTTCTCTAAAACACTGGTCCCTTGTACAGCATCAGGAGTTTCTCCCATCGTTACCCAAGTGGACTTACTTTGGCTTTTTGGAAAAAGAGACGAAAACAGCCTCTTGGATCCACATTGCAGCTTCTGGCAATTTCTATAATAAACTGCATTACAACTGCTTGGTGTGCTACTTGCTCCATCAGAGCTCTTTTCTGGAAAGAAAGAAAAAAAACAAACCCCAAAAAAACCCCCAAGTTACATTTAAAAAATATTTCCTGTGATTATGTTTCTAAAATTCAGCACAATTTACTTTTGTTGTAGTTCCTAAACAGATGAGATGGTGTTCACAGAAGCAAGGGGACTGATAATTAGCTACAACTAGACATCTATGTGACAATGCACTACAGAGTTTTTCTTCCAATAAATTAGAGAGAGGGTGGGAAGAACAGTTAAACAGCTAATGAAGTTGGTCAACTTTTCTATAGTGCAAGTGGGAAACTGTATACTTGCAAACAATTTAAACATCTTCTTTGTACCTGTTCAGCTTCTAGATGAAAACACCACAACATGAGATATCTAGATGTTTCTTCACATACAAGATATGGGTGATCAGACAAAAATCTCTGACTATCATCCCATCTGCTCAGCATACCTAATAAGGGAAACATAGTTAAGATATTCTAAATGGATAAATGATTTAATGCAGCAAGGAAGTTACTTGCATTGATACCCCAGTACATGTAACACCTTTGCAATTCACTAACCTCAAAATGACAGCATGCAGCTAGATTTGGGGGTTTTATTTATACACCTAACCAATGCTGAAAGAGCATTACCAGAAGGTATAATCAGAGTTTGAAGATACTAAAAGTGGATTTTAATAGTCAGAATTTCCCACATTTTAATGCATCTCTACCATCATTGCTAAGTTATTTGTAATTAGTCCTCACACACACTAACGAAGTGGTGTAGATACAGTTATATCATCTAATAGTTTAAAAAGTTTATGGATAGACATTTACATTCAGTGATTCTAACAGACAAATCCTCTAAATGTTCGCAAATAAGAATGCAAAGAAAAGAATGTGTAATCTGTCAAAAATTAAAGTCTTCTAACACATTGTGTGCTAGGTTTTTAGGAAATTTGAGTTTAGAGGAACAGGTTGATCTCAAAAAGCAAAGCTACATTAGTAGTGGAAAGTTAACCAGAAGATTGAATCATAATACCATGAAGCTACCTTCATGTAAGCAGCTGAGTTTAAAAATCAGAACTCAATACTCAGACCACTTCTTAAAATTGTCCTTCATGTACCACTGACAGCCAAGTCATTACTGGCAACAGGTACCAGATGTACAGCTTTACCCGTCTATCGGTGTATAATTATAACTGGGCTAAAGATAATTCAGTGCTAATGACCTAAGCTAATCTTAATTCTAGCAAACAAATGCTAAAGAGACAGTAATGGCTAATAGTTCTTTTGGCTGTTTTCAAGAGAGCTATTCTGCTTAAGTTCTTCATTGCTTGGAAGCCAGAGCAGGATCCAGAAACAGGACTTGTGCAATATCATAGGTGAAGTCCACACTGCCCCTCAGCAGCAGCTAGCACAACGCAAGAAACTTGAAAGAGCGCTAATGTACTATCCCTTTTTACGATGGACTTACATATTTTGAATTAAAATAACAACATGGCTTTGAAATCAGGAAGTAAGAAAAAAAACTGATGACCTTCTGTAATAAGGTTTGTTTCTGTAACAGCTTAACCCGAATTTAGACAATGAAGTAATTTTGCCCAACTCTTAGCTAGGAAGCCTGCAAGAAAGCCGTGTTTTTTTTCTGATGAAACGCACAGCAGGGGAGGTGTCTTCTGATTCCTGCTATCATTACACTAAACAGTTAAGATATTTCAGAGGACCTGTGCCTATCACTGCTATTTGCATACTCTGACAGTGTTGTGCCTCAGCTTGGTACTTGCAAGGCTTGCTAAGGCTAACAGGGCTAGAAACCCTTTCTTTGAAACAGTTTAGGATCCTTTAGAAGCCAAACAGCTCAATCAAAATGAGTTTGTACAAAGAATGGAATTTTGCTCAGTCCTGTTCTTGATTGTTCTGAAATTCCAAATATGGCTATACTATACTGTAGTCTGAATTCAGCCTGTAACCAAGAATAGAAAGCACTCCAAAGAACGATCAAAATTTCAGATTACTTTACAAGATCAGTTTTGTTTTTAATTGCGTTCAACAGTTATGACAGAGGTAAGGTGACACCTAGTGGATGATTAAATACAATTTTAAGAAACACACAATTCCATGCACACATGGCTTAATAGCCACCAGAAAAACATGTATTAATAAGAGAAGACAGCTATGGAAAACCCCATGCATTTTTATATACACAACTTATATTTCCATGAATGCCCCTGGCTTTTCCCACCAAACAGCAGAATAAGTTGCTAGAACTTCAGTTTTTACAGCTTAAGCCCCTTCGAGTATTAGGTTTTGTTTTTTTTTAAACTAAGTTCTTATTGGTCACAGGAACTAACAAGCTTCTACAGTTTACACCTTATTTTGCTTTGAAATTATTATCTGTCCTGATAAAATAAAGCTGAACAGTCCGTTAGCCAGGTCTTTAATTTGTTAGGCCTTCATTCTGTAGAATAAGGAGCAAACCCACACAAACTGTGTAAGTTTGAATTGCAAAATGTTGGAAAAAGCACACTCACCAAAGTGTCTAATCTTCTGTTCATGTTTTTGCATAAGTGGTTCAGACACGTTTTCATCTTCTATTTCTTTCCTTTTTTGATTAATAAAACTCTGAGGAAGAGAAAAATTGCGCTGTGACAGAAACTCCAGACATACCTTTTTATGATATATAGGAGTATTGTATTTTAGCATGTTACTATTTAAAGAGCTATGTTCTAACTTTAGAGTCATGTCATATATTTGAGGTTTTCTTTAAAAAAAGTGCATTACCTAATAATAGACTTAAAAAGTCTGACTATAGTCTACTGACCAAAGAACTCGTGAGAAAGTTCTGTCCTCAGGTAGGAAATTACTGCTCTGTCAACAATGAGAATCATGTACATTGCAGCCTGGATGTCGCTAAGTCAGTGAAATTTGGAGATGCGCTAGTTGTTCACATTAAATTGTGACATCGAAGCTGAGGTTCTACTATTAAAAAGTTTGTGCTAAATAATCTGTATCACGGTAGTCATTGTAAGAGGCAAACTAAGAGTTTCACATTTTAAGAATTTGGCACAGCAGAGAAGCACACTCTTCATGTGAAGAAACTATTGTCCAGCACGTTTGGCAACACTTGTACTACAGAGAATCATAGAGTGGTTTGGGTTTGAAGGGATGTTAAAGATCATGTAGTTCCACCTCTCCCTGCCATGGGTGGGGACATCTTACACTACATCAGGTTGCTCACAGCCCCATCCAACCGGACCACTATTGCTTCCAGGTATGGGGCATCCACAACTTCTCTGGGCAATCTGTTCCAGTGTCTCATCACCCTCACAGTAAAAAATTTCTTCCTTATATCCAAGCTAAACCTACCCTCTTTCAGTTTAAAACTGTTGTCCCTTGTTCTATCACTACAGGCCACGGTAAAAAAATCTCCATCTTTCTTATAAGTCCCATTTATGTATTGAAAGGCTGCAGTAAAGTCAATAAGGGCTCCTCAGCACCTTCTCTTCTCCAGGGTGAGCAACCCCAACTCTCTCAGCCTGTCCTCACAGGAGAGGTACTCCAGCACTCAGATCATTTTTGTGGCTTCCTCTGGACCCACTCCAACAGGTCCATGTCTTTCCTGTGCTGAGGACCCCAGAGCTGGACGCAGTGCTCCAGGTGGGGGTCTCACCAGAGTGGAGCAGAGGGGCAGAATCACCTCCCTCAATCTGCCGGCCCCACTGCTTTTGATGCAGCCCAGGATACGGTTGGCCTTCTGGGCTGTGAGTGCACATTGCTAGCTCATATCTAATACCTAGATGACACACACAAGTTCTGATCTGCACTTCCCGTAGAGAAATGTCATCCAGATTTGTAATATGAGCGCAGCTTGCTCTTCTTCATGAAGCAAAGTAAGGAAAAAAAAAAACAAACCCGCTTTAACACACACTTTGTTTTTGTGCTGTACTGGACACACAAGACACTGAAGACTAGTAACAAGTGGAATGACAATAAAAGAGGCTAACACTTCTTTTCATACACACAGATACGGGTCATACCTTATTAAATACCTCCTTACTAACAGGATCCGTGTTCCATAGATTCTGTCTTTCCCTCTGGTTTAGTGCTTCTTCTTTTCTTCTCCACTCTTCCTCTCTCCATCTCAACTCTGCAGCTTCAGCCTTTGCTTGAGCAGATTCTTGATCGCAGGATTCTGAATTATGCAGTGCTAAGCTACCAAGTTTTTGCTGGGCTTCTGCTAGGTTCCACGTGCATTCTACAGAGTGCTTCACAAACTCTCTTTCTTTTTGGCAGGCTAATTCAATCCCTTGGCTGTATGTCTGTGAGGAAAACCAGACATGCTGTTTATGGAGGGGAAAATTGACAGTTTACAGTTTGTACAGGAGCAGAGAGGCCTAAATCCCAGAGATAATGCACCTGGAAGGCACCTTAGATATGCCGTGTTACATTCACAGGAGTGCTGAAGCACGGTATTATATAGCTAGCTGGTTTTTAGAAAGAGATTTCCAATTGAAGCTGTTTAAACTACGTTAAGTGCAGCTGCAAAATCGTGGATCACATACTGATAGCAGTAATAGCCTCCAGACTGTAAAAATACTTTTGACACAGCTGAAACCCCTCTGGCTATCTTTGCGCTGCAATGCTAGCAACACCCAAGTGCAAGAACACTCTGAATATGTACTTCCGAGAAGAAAGTACCACTTTTTTTTGATGTCAGATCAGAACAGCAAAGTAACTGCTGCTGCCTGCATTCCAGTATGGATTAGTACCCAACAGATGGCCAACACCGTCCCTTGAACCAACAGTGAAAGTGGAATTTAAGTTATGAAGTGGCTGAGGCCCAGCACAAGCATATGCTCCTTTTGGTCACATCTATTGAGGAGGTCACCACCCATAGCTGGGAGGGAAAAGTGACCTCTTAAGCAACAGTGCTTATATTACTTCGAGGTGTGCACTGGGAATTCACACTCAGTAACTTAAGAAATTATCCTCTAATGCATACACCGTGCCTTCCCACCAAGAGTGGGGAAAAAAACAAGCACATGCATTTGTTCCTCAGCCTTCCAGTGCCACATCATGAAGTCTGCGGTGCTGATAACCTCTGGCAGAGGGACACGAAGGACATCACCAGTTGTGAACAATGACTTGAAGGAAACTTTAATGCAGGTATGCCAAAGTTCTTGCGCCAACTTTGTTCGCGAATTGCAGCATTTTTACTTTCTTTGTAACAAGATGAAAATTTCATTGTTGGGGAAAACCGATGCACTGGCAGCCTCCCGCAAGGACGCGCAGAATTCCTGACAACATATTCATGAAACGCCGACTTGCCCTAGCCAACAGAGGCACACACCCCTCCCGCGTCTGTGGCTCAGACACAAGGATGCTGGGATAACTTCAGCCCAGCTCCACATCACTTGTCAGGCGTGGAACTGCTACTCACGGGTGGTAGCAGACGCCAGACCTCCCCCCCCGGCGGCAGC